TTTCAGGGGCTGCCATGGGGTCGATGCCTGGGGAGTCCTCAAGGGTCACAGGCTGACACTGCCAGGGCAGGTTTCACACCCCAAATCTGCAACACCCCCAAAAAAGCCTGCTGAGGCACGGGCAGTAAGTAGGATAGCCAGGAGCAGGGTCACGAGGAGGGCTGAGCCCTCCTGGGTGCTCCGGGAGCCAGATTTCACGAGCCAAGACACAAAGGGCCTCTTTTCAGCCAGAGCCGCTTACCCCGAGCTCTAAGCAGAGGGTGATGCGAAAGGATCCGCGGGGACGGGGACCAGCAGAGTGGGCAGGAAGTCTGACGGCTTCTCCCTCCAGCTTATGTGAACCATAATCAGGTCATGCACCATACCCAAGAGGCCAACACATGGGGGCTTTTCTGATGGGAAGAGAGGCAGTAGGAAGTGGAAATTCCCAAAAAGCCGCTGGTCAGCTGCTTTCCCCCATGCCCACAGCACCTATTTTCAGATCCTATTGCCCAGACAGACAAAGCATTGTGAATGCACCAAAGGGCTCCCAAATCTGGTCCCCTGAAGCATCCGCATCTCCCTGACCTCAGCAGGACAGGGGGCTTCAGGGAACCCATTGACCCTCCCCAGGACAGGAGATGAGCACCACCTCCCATTGTGTAGGGATGGGGATGACCCACTTAGCATGGAGAGTTTATTTATTATTATTATTATTATTATCAAAGTGAAGAAGCCAAGGAAGCCAGACGTGGGGCCCGTTCAGCTGTGTTTTCCGTGGGAGAGAATAAACAAGCTGCAGCAAGCGTGAGCCCTGAGGGGGAGCAGATTCTGATGGAGACACATCCTGATGTGTTCACGCCTGAGGCCAGTCGGTTTCGGGACAGGGCAGGGAGCTGCAGGGATTACAGTGGCGACTGGGCAGCCTGATAATCCTCAAAAAACTGAGATCCTGTCTGGCCACATGGGATGTGTAGTCAAATGCTATCCTGGCCAGGATACACTGGCTGCACTGTCCTACCAGCATGCCCACCTTAGGGATCCCAGGTGGTGCTGGATATCTCCTGCAGAGCTGTGGCAGGAGGGACAGCTCACAGCCTCCAAGAGACAGCAGCAGGCAGGGAGCCATTGGCTGCTTCAAGTGAGGAGCTCGGCTCACTCCCCCAAAAATAACCTGGTGGCACCCAAAACTGGGTCAACCCACAAGGGCCTCACCAGAGCTCAGCAGAACCCTAAGGCAGTGCCTTGTTTGCATAACAAGGAGCAGATGGCAAGCTAAAGAGGGCAGCCCTGTCTCTGCACTGCACCTCCCAGGATGCCCCAGAGCCCCAGCTCCAAGCAGCCAGCCCAGCATGGTGCAGTTACTGGGAAGAGACTGCACCACCAGCACACCCCTCCAGCACCATCCTTCTTCCTTCCCTCCATGTAACACCTGAAGCACACCCAAAATTGAGTCCTTGGCACAGGCAAGTTATGAGGTGACTATGGGTGTAGTGTCAAACATGCCTACCCAGCATGTGGCTGAGCCACTGCAGTTACACACACAGCTTTCTGTCCACCCGAGAAACAGGAAAGGCAACCTGGGAAAAGGACAGCTCCCCAATTCAAATATTGCCAACAAGGACAGGTGGTCGTCAGAAAAAAAGCCCCAGGCGTTAGGAAGCAAGCCTCATTTCCCTTGTGCAAATACCCCCTGGCCATCCCCACTGCAGCAGGCTGACACCTCACGTCCCCACATCACTTCCCCATCCCCAGCACCCTCAGACCGCAGGGTGCGAAGCCGCCGGGTCCCCCACGCACCCAGCTGGGAGGGACGAGGAAGTGGCTCAGCGCCAGCCCCCACCACGGGGAAGTCATCCCTGCATGGCTC